GGGGGGATCTCTGAGTTCAAGGCCAGCCTGGTCTTGAAGAGCTAGTTCCAGAACAGGAACCAAAAAGCTACAGAGAAACCCTGTCTCGAAAATCAAAAAAAAAAAAAAAAAAAAAAAAAGTTACTTTGGGTATGTACTGGACCAGCCTGATTCCTGTAGTTGTTACAGTTAATTTTCAGTCTTCGTTGCTGCCTGCCATGCTGCCTGCCATACCACGGCATTTGTTAGCTGGCCCTGAGGTCATTTTTGTATTCCTGGTACAGCCATGGCTATTACCTCTCTTTACTTGGGACCCACTTGTGGGGCTCAGGGCAGCCTGGCCACATATATGGGGCCCAGGTTGCATAGCTGCCATGACAGACAGGCTTGATAGAGACTAGCCAAGAGAGTTTCCATTTACTGGCAGGCAGCACCCAATTCCAGGAAAAGCCATGAGCTGATACCACCCAGGATTGGACCAGCATCTAAGGGAAGTACCTGAATATCTTACCCATTGGATAAGATTAAATAAGATCACCAGATGTCCTTGAGCCCAGCAGTACCTATTCCCTTCCACCAAAACACCCCTAGACAGGTGTTAGCCAGTCAGGGTCTTGAATCTTGAAAACCCTCTCACCCCAACCTCTACTATGATAAAAAGTCTCTCCTGCTCTCCTGGGCAGACTGTTGCATCGGACACACGGAGAGTCCAAGTTCGGGCTTTAATTGAATAAAGGCTCTTGGCTTTTGCATACGGATTCAGACTCCTTGGTGGTCTTTGGGGAACTCCAATTTGGGCATAACATTTGGGGGCTCGGGGCTGGAGAGATGGCTCAGAGGTTAAGAGCACTGGCTGCTCTCCCAGAGGTCCTGAGTTCAATTCCCAGCAACCACATGGTGGCTCACAACCACCTGTAATGAGATCTGGCACTCTCTTCTGGTGTGTGGGCATACATGGAGACAGAATGTTGTATGCATAATAAATAAATAAATCTTTAAAAAAAAAACATTTGGGGGCTCATCCAAGATCCCCCAAGCCTACAGGGACTACCGCCCATAGAGCCTTCAGCCTCAAGTCGGCCTCTGAGTTTTCTGTTTTGTGTCTTTCTGCTTGAATATCCTTCTGCAAGTGCGTCCAGAATCAGTACCAGAAACTGTAAGAACCTGTAGACGGTCTATGCGGACACGTGAAGAGATCACAGGTGGGTCCCAGGGCCATGCTGTAGACAGTGGATCTCTCTGGTTTCTGTAAATAGATGTGCAGTTGTTGCCAGTGTCTCAGCTTCAGTTCTGCCTCCGGGCACCAGGGGGGCTGTTTATCTGTTCCTTGTCCTGTGTGTTGTTGTGTTGTTTGTCCTGACTTAGACTGATGCTGACAATGTGGGCACCTAAGAGTACGCCTACTCCCCTCCCTCCCTTTGATTCTGGACCTCTTTCAGGACTTTAGAAATAGAGCAAGAAAAAAGTGACTGGAAATAAAAAGGGTAAACTGGCCATCTTTGGCCAGACCGAATGGCCAGCATTTGGAACTGGGTGGCTGGTAGAGGGAACCTTCGACTTACACGTCATTTCTAGGACATAAGACCTGATTTTTGGCAAACCCAGATACCAGGACCAGATTCCTTACATAGTCGCTTGGGAGACCTTGTAACACACCCTCTTCCTTGGTTAAAACCCTTTATCTCCAGGGGGCTGATGAACAAGACCATCCTCGCCTTACAGGAAGACAAAAGGCAAGAGGACCTTAAGCCTTCTGCCCCTGTGCTGCAAAGGGGTACAGAAGATGAACTCCTCTTGCCTCCTCTTTCCGGGTACCTCCCCCAACTGGTCAGGAGGCCAGGAAGGGGGCCCAGGGAACTTGGGAAGCCCACCTTGCACCAGGGGGCGGGCCCAGTGAGAATTGCCCTGGGAGGTCAACTCTGTCCCTCTTCCCCTGAGTGCGGTTGGCCCATAGGACGGTGAGGGCAATGAACAGATGCAGTATTGGTCCTTCGCCGTGAGTGATCTCTACAACTGGAAAAAGCAAAGCCCCCGTTTCTCAGACAATCTTTTTGATTCTGTTATGTTCACTTACCAACCTACTTGGGAGGATTGCAGTCAGTTGATACAGGTCCTGTTTATCACGGAGAAAGGGAGAATTCTGACAGAGGCCCAAAAATTGGTCCCAGGATCTGATGGAAACCCAACTGTCAATTCTGTGCCAATAGACCAAGGCTTCCCCTTGACCTGTTCTAACAGGACAGGAATTTCACCTTGGCAGAAGGTAAGGAAAGGCTCCAAGTCTACTGCCAGGTTTTAATGGGAGGTCTCCATGTGGTCCACCAGTCTGGCCAAAGTCAGTGATGTACTTACTACAAGAAAACACAGGATCCACTCGGGAGGCAGAGGCAGGTGGATCTCTGAGTTCAAGACCAGCCTGGTCTACAGAGCTAGCTCCAGGACAGGCTCCAAAGCCACAGAGAAACCCTATCTCGAAAAAAACAAACAAACAAAACAAAAAAACCAAAAAAAAAAAAAAAAAAAAACCACCTCCATCAGCCTTCTTAGAACGGATTATGGAGGGCTTTAGGGCATACTCCCTATGGATCCTCAGGCCGAGGAAAATAGGTCATCTGTGGTCCTGGCCTTTGTTAATTAGACCACGCCTGACGTTAGGTGCAAGTCACAGAAGATAGATGGGCTTACAGATCAGAGCGTCCAGGAGCTGTGAGCAGTAGCTCAGTGTACAACAGAGAAGCCCCAGAGGATAAACAGATGAGGGTCATTGCTGCAGAGAATGCAGAGTTACCTGGAAATACGGCAAGAACCCTAGCAGCCACCGCAGGAGACCCAGGTGAAAAGAAGGAATGACTGAGATGCCTAGCCAGAGGCCAAGGTAAGGGCCTCCACCGAAGGGAGCATCCTAGGTGCAGAAAGATCCATGTGCTTATTGCTGGGGAATGGGACATTGGGCTAAAGGGTGCTCCCAGGAGTCCAAACATAAGGACTATGACTCAGGATGTGACTCCTGCCACGGGGTTTGAGTCCCCTCCCTGAGCCCAGGGAAAACCTACAAATTTAGTAGTAGTAGAACTGGAACTCAACATTTTTTTAATATTTATTTATTATGTATACAATGTTCTGTCTGTGTGTATGTCTGCAGGCCAGAAGAGGGCACCAGACCTCATTACAGATGGTTGTGAGCCACCATGTGATTGCTGGGAATTGAACTCAGGACCTTTGGAAGAGCAGGCAATGCTCTTAACCACCGAGCCATCTCTCCAGCCCCTGGAACTCAACATTTGATCTAAACCAAACACCAAGGGAACCTCTCTCAAAAAAAGTCTTGGGTGCAGGGAGCCACAGGTATGAGCCAATATTCATGGACTACCCGAAGAACAGTGGATCTCGGAACGGGTCAGGTATTCCCCATTCCTTCCTGGTCATACCTAACTGCCCCTACTCCTTATTACGAATATACCAACCATTGGATAAGATTAAGATGTCATCAAACCCAGAATGTACCTATTCTCTTACACACACACACACACACCCTAGACAAATGTCAGCCAATCAGGTTGAATCCTGAAAACCCCCTTACCCCCAACTTCTACCATGATAAACGGCTGGGCGCGCTCTGTTTGTACTGCTGCATCAGACACACAGCCCAAGCCTGATCTTGAATAAATAAAGGCTCTTTTCTTTTGCTTACGGATTTGGACTCGGTGGTGGTCTTTGGGGAGGGAACCTTGCGGTTTGGACATGATTCTCATTCCATCTCAAGCTCGCTAGATTGTCCACGTCAACACACCATTCTCTGGCCCAAACTCACCGAGCCCCTGTGTCAGAATCTCTCACTTACTGCTGAGTCCAAAGAGCAAGATCTCTCCTGGCCCTGCCATTCCACCTGGGCCATAAGGAAGGCTAGATGGGTGGGGCACCTGTTGTTATCCAGATTTCCAGGAAGTGCTGCTGTTAGGAGCTTTCAGGTGCCTCCATTAGCACTCCTCCAGCCGGGAGCCGCACAGAGATCTGACAGGATTCTGACTTGCCATCTCAGGTAAGAAGCTGGGGACGGTGCATCTGAGCTGGCTGTGGCTCTGGGCACTGTCCACACACCTAGAATCCCTAGACTGGAAGAGAGTTGAGAGCAGACTACTATAAGATAGGACAGACAAAGGGCAGTGGGGGGTTAGGTGCCTAGGCCAGACATTAGGGACTTAGGAGGTCACAAGGGGTAGGATACAGTGGTGGTGGAGACCCAGGAAGCTTTTGCTTCTTTCAGGGGCAGACTTAGCACCCTGAAATTGGGAAAGGGTTGGTAGGGAGACCCAGGAATCCCAACTGGAGCCGAGGGAAGAAATAGCTGTTAAGACTGGTATCCTGAGGTCTGGCACTTGGCAATCGTTGGAGTCTTCTCAACTCTCATTTGTTGCCTTTGGGACAGCAACCTTGCTCTGAGAAATGCGGAAACTGGGGTTCACTTTCCTGTGTGGGGCAACCCCACCCCATTTGCCTCAGTAAGTTCTATGAAGGCCTGAGGGAGATTTGCGGTCTGTGTGTCACGATTGCCTCACTTTCAACACGCAGGGAAGATTAGCTATTCCAGTTCCTAGTTGTCTGGAACTGGGAGCCCTTGCTTGACCCCAGGCTGTGAAAGGCAGTAGATTAAAAATCAAGAGTCAGGGACTGGAGAGATGGTTCACTGGCTGCTCTTCCAAAGGATCTGGTTTCAGTGCCCAACACCCATATGGTGGTTCATGACCATCTGTAATTCCAGTTCTGGGAGATGAGACATTTTCTTACTTCCATGGACACCAGGCATATAGGTGCATATATGTACATGCAGACAAAACACTCATACATTAAATAATAAATCTAAAAAAAACACAAAGTCAGATGTGGTGACCCACCTGTTGTAATTCCAGCTTTTGGGAGGTAGAGGCAGGAGTTCCGGGGCATCTTTCACTACAAAGCAGGTTTGAGGTCAGTCTAAGCTAGACATGACTGTCTTAAAGCAAAACAACAAAAAGCCCTTTCTGACCCAATACATCTCTCACTGTTGGTCCAGGCGTAATGTCTCTGTTTGAAAGTGTCACAAGATCCCTGGTCCAGGAGTTGGATTCTGGAGGGGATATGATTCCTGTCAAAAGTATGGTTGACGCTGGTGCATTCAAATGTGGTTATTTGGTGAGAGGACGGAAGAGGGTCTGGGGATGGGCCTACTACCGCAAGACAGACCTCACCCTGGAGGACATACTGGACGAAAAGGACGAAGGACTATTTGGTAGGCTGCCTGCAGGATTTAGAGGTCAGTATGTGGCAGGTGAGAAATGGCCGGCTTGAAACCTTGCCTGCTTCTATTCTACCCCGTGCTCAGCTCTGCATTGGCCTCAGCTAGTTGATTTGTACACCCTGGCACACCTCCAATAAGACACACACAGAAGGGTTGGTGAGCAAGAGGAGTAAAATAGAGATTTTTGTTTTGGCTTGGTTTTTTCAAGACTGTGTTTTTCTGTGTAGCTCTGACTGTCCTAGAACTCACTCTGTAGACCAGGCTGGCCTCGAACTCACAGAGATCCACCTGCCTCTGCCTCCCAAGTGCTTGGATTAAAGGCATAGCCACCACCACCTGGTGAGATTTCTTTGTATTGGAAGTCATTCCTACATAGTCTCCCTTTCCTGTGTCTCTCTGCAATGCCAATTCCTGAGCTCTGAGTTTATATTTTTATAATTAAACTGATGGGTAAATGGAGGAAGATGTGATAGTCAGGATGGACGCAGACTTCACAGCTAAGGTTGCCCGGTTTTGAAGGCCACTCTGCTGTTGACCAGCAGGGTGATGTCCGGATGAGCTGCTTTTTATCTGTGTAGGTTTCAGAGTCTTCACCTGTGAACTCTAGATGACTAAGTAAATGGCCCTGCCGGCCATGGGAGGTGCACGCAGACTCTCCCTCTGGTAGCTCTGCTGGACAGGACCCCTCTTCCCTGGGCGTGGGCTGAAAGACAAGTTGAACTGAAATTTAGAAGGCATCAGTTCTCAGCTATGGGTCGTGACCCCTTTGTGGGTTATAATGACCCTTTCACAGGGGCTGTATGTCAGATATCCTGCGTATCAGTTACATTATGATTCCTCACTAAAAATACAGTGATCAGGGGCTGGAGAGATGGCTTAGAGGTTAAGAGCACTGACTGCTCTTCCGGAGGTCCTGAGTTCAATTCCCAGCAACCACATGGTGGCTCACAACCATCTGTAATGAGGTCTGGTGCCCTCTTCTGACCTGCAGGTATACATGGAGGCTGAACACTGTGTACATAATAAATAAATAAATCTTTAAAAAAAATACAGTGATCACATAGCAACAAAATAATGTTATGGTTGGAGGTCACCACAACATGAGGAACTGTATTAAAGGGTTGCAACATCAGGAAGATTGAAAAAAAACCATAGCTCTAAGGGTTCTTCCTATCTATCTATCTATCTATCTATCTATCTATCTATCTATCTATCTATCTATCTATCTATCTATCTATCTTTAGTGGCTAAAGAGACAACTTGGGTGCTGGGAACTGAACTCATATTTTTGGTTGTGAGCCTAGCCTTTTACGGCTGAGCCATCTCTCCAGGGTTTTTATAGGAGGGCTTTACAATGCTGTTTCCCTGCCTCGAAGTGCAGATATTCCTGGGGTTTCTTCTTTTTGTTTCCGCTAACCCTGGAATCCATTTTAGTGTCTTATCCTGAATTCAGAAAATCTACCATATTTTAGGTGAACAAATATTTGAGTATGAAACTAAAGTTGTGTGGTCCAGACCTCTCTGCTGTAGTCTCTTAGTCTCTCTGCCCTCTCATGTTGTAGGACGTCCGCTTTCGCTTGGTTGTTTTCCATATTTTTCTCTGTGGTTCAGCCGTGGCTATGGTTTGGGTAGTCAAGTGCTCTGCACATCCATGAAGGGTGTGCGTGCTGTCTGCTTGCCTTCCCACCGCTGATCACCTGACCGAGGGGGTATGTTGAAGTTCATATTTGCCCTCCCACACTGCACTCCTTGTTTTCATCTTTGTCTTTTCTGTCGAGGCATCTTGTTTGTGTGCATGTTTTACAGATCCGGGAAGAGATGCCCAGCATTTTCCCTCCTCTGTGTTTTCAGTTTGCTCCTTTATGCTCCATGATGTCAGCCAAGGTGGCCACACCTCGAGACAGGAGGGATGAGAAAGGAAGAGCTATCTAGTCTCTGAGCCACACATCCCGTCTGGGCTGATGACCTCACACAGTTTAACCTGCCTGTGAAGTGATGATCAGAATCAAGTTCGCCAGTAACACCCTGCTTCATTGTCATAGTTAGACTGGACAGTGACTTTGGCGTGGTCCTGAGAAGGACCTCCTTTCAGTATTAGCACCATTGAGGGCATCAGCCAGGACACTTGTATGCATCATCAAGATGGCTTAGAAAGAGGGCAAACGTGGAATACGTGGAATTCATTTTTCCTTTTTTTTTTCTAACAAAGTACATATCAAACTTATACTGCTTGAGAAATGAAGAGGCCCTGAGACATTAGTGCCCTATGGGTTGATTTTTGTTGTTGGTTTTTTTTTTTTTTTTTTTTTTTTTTTGGTTGTTTGAGATAGGGTTTCTGTCACTTGCTCTGTAGACCACACTGGTCTTGAATTCAGAGATCTGCCTGCCTCTGCCTCCCAAGTGCTGGGATTAAAGGCATGTGTCACTACTGCCTGGCCCCATGGATTGATTTTAAGTAGTTCCTAATTTGGTCATTTTCTATTTCAAATGCATTTCCTCTGGAAATCCAGCTGGGCCCCTCACCCGGCAGCAGGAGCTGTCCCTTCTTTGCAGGTCTGTACTTGGGAGGTCTAAGGAGGAAGGTCTTCCTGCATCCCCTATATCCTCCCTAAACCACGAGCAGCAGCAGAATCAGCCTACCCAGCGCTGGGCCCCTGATGAATGCTACATCAGACGCCTGGAGTCTGTGCAGATGGGCAGCTTCCCTGGCCACCTCACTCTACCCCTGCACCAGCTTCCCTGGCCACCTCACTCCACCCCTGCACCAGCTTCCCTGGCCACCTCACTCCACCCCTGCACCAGTTTCCTTGGCCACCTCCACCCCTGCACCAGCTTCCCATGATCACCTCACTCCACCCCTGCACCAGCTTCCCTGACCACCTCATCCACCCCTGCACCTTCATGCAGACACCAGGGACTGAGCTACTTGCATTTTGTTTTCCACGTATCCTTTCCTTGCCTCATTTCAGAATCCCAGTGGCATTAGCTTGCATCTGTTGAACCCTGTAATGTGTGCCAGGCACTGTCTTAAGTTCTTGCCTGAATACTTGGTGTCCCCAAGCATGGGAAGGACTTAGTTAAGATTCTCTCTCTAGAGAGAGGCCAGATGACTTAACAGGTTACCTGGGGAGAAGGGTGCAGGGCAGACTGATGCCATGGACGGTGGCCTGTAATGTTGAGGACGGCAGGCTTCACGGAGGAAGGGGCAGTGCTAGCAAGGGCTTTCTGGAGAAGGGCCTTTTAGGTTAGCATCAATGTGATATTTACTCTTGTCTTTCCAGGTGAAAAGGCTAAATTCCAAGTCCAGGATAAAACAGATTCAAAGCTGTCAGTAAAACTGTTGTCAGCAATATTGCCAGCAAAATTGTCAGCAATATTACCGGCAAAATTCCCTGAAGAAATACTTGCCGTTGAAAGACTACGGTCCTGTGATTGGAAAACCACCATAATACATAGGAAGATAACCCAGAGATATTTGGATTTCCTTGTCAACAAGTGAGGCGGGGACTGAAGAGATGGTTCAGTGGTCACGAGCACTTGCTGCTCACACCAAGGACTTAGTATTGGTTCCCAGCACTCATATGGGGGTGCCCAACCATCTGTAATTCCAGTTCCAGGGGATCTGATGCCCTTTTCTGACCTCCATCTCTTGCACCTATATGGTACACATACATACACGCAGGCACTACACATAGATAGCTACTTTTTAAGATGGGGCTGGATTCAGGCAGTAGTGGGAATGGACAAGGGGAAGGAAGCCTTCTGGGCATGAGTCATCTCAGGGGCACCCTGGCTGTTCACCCTCAGGCCCACTCCTGTGCTGACCTTCCTTATCTGCCCAGGCAGCCTCCTGGCTCCCTCACAGCCTGCCATCTTCTGAGTGACCGATTGCTGTGGGTCAGATCCAACAGAAACCCAGGACAAAAGACTAACTGTAGTGCCTGTTAGCTTACCAAAGAGGATGCTGGCCCCCAGGCTCACTCAGTAGAGTGGCTCTTCTCAGCTCGCCACATCTGCCCCTGTCCTACCCTCAACTTCTCCAGCCCGAGGGCTTTGCTTCTCTTCCCCCAGCTTCTCATTCCTATATAATCCTGCCATTTTGGCCGTATGCTCTTTTGGTCAGCTTTCTCTCGCTCCTCTCCTCTCTCTCTTCCCTTCTCTCCCCCAGTGCCTGCTTCCCACCCCAATCTCATCATCACCTGGTTCAGTCTACTGGTTACATTTAGTCTACTATTTTCTCTCTTTGTTCTGGACAGTTGTGAGCCACCATGTGGGTGCTGGGAATTGAACCTGGGTCCACTGGGAGAGTAGCCAGTGTTCTTAACCACTGAGATATTGCTTTAGCAAACAAATTTTTGTTTGTTTTATAACAAGATCTCAATTATTGTAGCTCTGGTGGGCCTGGAACTTGAATGTAGACCAGGCTGGCCTTAGTAAGAGTCCATCACAATGGGGAATTTGGTAACAAGCAGCAGACATGGTGGCAGGAAGCAGAAGCTGAGAGTTCACATCTCCGACCACAAGCAGGAAGCAGAGAGAGTGGTCTGGTGGTGGCAGGTGGCTTTGAAACCTCAAAGCCTGCCCTTAGCGCTGCACTTCAGCAAGGCCACACCTCCTAATCCTTCCCAAACAGCACCACCAACTGGGAACCAAGACTCTGGGGGACATCTCACTCAAACCACCATGTACCCCCCCCCCCAAGCCAACAAGTGTAGTAAGAAGAAAAAGATGTAATTCTGCCTACATCATAGAGGGTGGGGTATGAAGTCTCCCACCATCTGTGATGGGCAGGAACATACTGAATGCTAGTGAGATCCCTTCCCATTGAGCACCCTGCCTCCACACCACCGTGGGTAGAATGTAGGGTGATAGCTGCAGTGTGTAATGTCCCTTGGCTTTGCAGCCCTACAGGAATTTACTCTGAAAAGGAAGTAGTTGGTAGACAGGGAGAGGTCACTGAGAGGCCCTGAACTCTTATCCCTTCCATTCCCTCTAGGAAGGTGAAGCAGAAACTACCCGCTTCATTTAAAACAATTAATATGAAAGAAAATATATATCTGGTGACAGAAACTCTGGAGACAGAAGACGAGGAAACCCTACAAAGAAAAATGGGCTATAAAATTTTGTGCTCACTTCTTAAGAACTATGAAAAAAAGGTTAGTACCCTGGGAGATGGGGTGTGGACCAGCCAGCCTTGTGCCATCCACTGAAGGCCCCCTGAGGGTGCCTGCCAAGACTAGGCCTTCTTAGCTCCTCCTCAGGCCTCTCGGAGCAGTGCTGGCTGGTCTCTGTGCCTTGTGGAGGAAGAGTGTGCCGCCTTGAAGGAGTCACAGGCTGACTTAGGATGCCCTCTTTTCATTTCCTTTTTAGTTTTATTTTTTGGTCTTTTGAGACAAGGTTTCTCCACATAGCTCTGGCTACCCTGAACTCACTTTGTAGATCAAGCTGGCCTCGAACTCATGGAGATCTGCCTGCCTTTGCGAGTACTGCGTGCACCAGCACACTCAGTCTGGATAGTCTCTACCATGTGGTTATTCTGTCCCGTGTCTGTCTCCCTGTCTAGCAGGCAGGAGGAGCTAGAGTCCCTGGAACAAATCTTGTCTTCAGTATACACTTGTTAAACAGTGGAAACAGAATGGGTTTGGGGTCAGACATGGGTTCGAATTTCAGCTCTGCCATTGGTTTCAGCTGTAGGATTGGCTCAGATACTTGTCTTAGAGTCTTAGTTCATCTGTAGACTTAGAATAAAACTGTCTACCTCTTAGGAGTGTTTGGGAGATTAGGCAGGATAGCAATGTAATTTCCATCAACACAAACTCTTTCTCCTTAGAGCCAACGCAAAATCACCGTCCCTGCCAACACGATCCTGGCCTATCGAATGAAGCAGCTCATCTTCGAAAATGGGTCAATATGTAAGCAAGAGGGAGGGAAAGGAGGGCATCAATACAGAAACCACTATTTTCTTATTCTTTCTTTTTTCTTTCTTTCCACCTCTCGGTGTTGGCTTAGCTCTTGACTTCTGGAATGAAGGAAGAAGAAGGTCTTTTCAAGGAGGTGAGTGAGCCCCTGGGCTACCCAGTCATTGTCTCAGAGCATGCAAGACGGAAGGCAGTGCACGGCAGAGTCTGTAGTCGGATGTGTTCAGAAGGGAGGACACATGCTTGTGGAGGAGCAGCCTGGATGCACTGTTGGCCCAGGGCCACTTGTTAGCGTGGGGTGGATGAGGGAACTGCACTGAACTAGTCTCAGGTACCCTGCCGTACCACTCTTGCTCATAGCCTCCCAAATCTGGACTTTTCTGACCAGGCAGGAAGGTCTATGGCTCTGTATGTGATTCCTCTGGGACATTTGGGGCTTTCCCTCTACCCAAAGAGGCCTCAGGAAGGGACGGAGGGCATGTTGTACCTTCTCTGGGTGTTGGCTGCTGCTCGAGTCACCCAGGCACAGCCCTGTGGCGGCGGGTCGCCGAGGATGTGAGAAGGATCTTGCATATATAACTTAGATTACGCGGTAAGGGTACAGACTCCCTGACATGGGCAATGGCAGCTCATCACTGGGAGAAGAATGCCCATAGGGGTTAGGTGTGCTCAGAGACTCTGAAGACTTCCTCCCTTGGCAGAGAGAGGACTTACTAGCTATGTGTGGGGCCTTACCTGTCTCTAGGCCCACATACAGTATGGCAGAATTCATCTATCCTCAGGTTGATATGATGTAACACTTACCACTCGGTGGGATCAGCAGAATGGTGCAGGCTGGTGTCTTAGTTAGGGTTAGTATTACATGGTATTGTAGAACACCATGGCCCAAGCAATGGGGAGAGGAAATGAGTTATTTGGCTATATTTCCATATCATTGTTCATCATCAAAGGAAGTCAGGACAGGAACTCAAACAGGGCAGGACCCTAGAGGTGTAGATTTCTCTTTTCTTCCTCCTTCCCTCTTTCTCTCTTTCTCTCTTCCTTTCTTTCTTCCTTCCTCCCTCCCTCCCTCCCTCCCTCCCTCCCTCTCTCTCTCTCTCTCTCTTTCTTTCTTTCTTTCTTTCTTTCTTTCTTTCTCCCCACCTCCTCTTGCTGCAAGTCTCTCAGGCTGGCCTTGAAGTTCCTAAGTAGCTGAGGTTGGCCTTGAACTCCTGGTCCGCCCTCCAGTCTGCTCCTCCCTAGTGTTGGGATTACAGAGGTGCACCACTACACCTGGCTTTGGGGACTACACTTCGGTGAAAATTAAACAACCAAGTTTATTTCTGGATATGGCAAACTGGGACTAGATGAGGTGAACTAGGGAGATGGAAGCCAGGTAAATGGGTGATGGTAGGCATGTCGGAAGAGGGAGTTCCATTTTAACAGAACAAATAGTTTAGAAGAAGGCAAAACACAGAGATGAGGTAAAAACAACAGCAAAAACAAAAAGTAGATTAAAATAAGGTCTAGCCAGGCATTGTGGCATCCTATTGTGATCCCAGTTCTTGAGGCAAGATGATCCGAGAGAAGGGCAGTCCTTGGCTACATAGTGAGCCTGGGCTACATGAGACTATCTCGGGGGTGGGTTGGGGCAAGGTATAGTAGACTTTACAAATGGAGCCTGTTGGCACAGTGAGTCAGATTCATAATTGTTGTCTTTATAGAAACGCCTCTAGGAACACAGGGAACTACTGAAACTTTGAAGGAGCACGTAGAGAACACAGGGAGAAGCCTGCAGGAACTGGATGAGAAGCAGAAGAATGTGCTATGCTCTGCCACTACATGCGCCATCAAGGAAGGGGGGCTGGAGGACCTGGAACAGAAAGTAAGGGATCCAAGGAAGAACTGGGGTGGACACAGAGGACTGTGGAGGGCAGATGGCAGGATGGGAATCAACTGGACAGAACCATACTTAGCTTCCCCCTCTCCCACCCCCAGGTTTCTGCTGTCTTGTTCTCTGATGCTTCGACGCAGACTGAGGGCCCAGCAGGTCCTCTCATTCGCACCCTTCATGATAATGCCGGGTGCTTGGTAAAAGCACGTGCAGAAGCCATTCTGATGCTCTTGGATGCCTTAATAGGTGAGGAGGAAAGCAGAGCAAGGAGGCTGGTGGAGAATCAAATCTTAGGGAGTGTGTATATTCTATGAGGGGTAGCCCTCAGCATTTCAGAGACTGTCAGTCTTTCCCAGGCCAGATATTGAGGGGGAATATCCCTGTTCCCTCTGGTATAGTCTATAATGCTCCATATTTTAACAGGGGAGTAGGAAACATTTGGGATATTCCCACCAGGCCTCCTGGGAGCTCTCTGAAACCCCCTGATGATGTACGTGTGGTGAGCCACTGAAGATCGCCAGCAAAGCCACCTGTCCCTCACCTTTTCTACTAACAACCTTTTCCTGCTTCCAGCCCTATCTGACAATGCCGAGTATGTGAACGAAGCACTGGAGAATGGGAAGCTGCATTTGCTGAGGGACCAGGTGAGACACTGGATAGAGAGGGCTAGGGCCATAGTAGAGACCAGTGCCTGTGTTCTGGAAGGACTTGAAAACCCCACAGTACAGCCCTTTTTACTCTGTAGTTACTGCCTGCTCATGTCTGTGCAGCAGGTTTGGGACAGATTTGACATGTTCTTCTGCCTGCCAGTGGGCAAAGAGGATAGAAAAAGACTAGTCCAAGATGGCGTCTGGTGCCATCCTGAGTGCCTGCTGCTATGTGGAGATGGTGTGGGGTTCTTCAGCTTTGCAGGAAGAATTCCATGATGGCTCTAATGTCTGTCACAGCTCAGAACGAAGGGCTGTGGCCAGCTGTTGGCCATTGTGGTCTGGGTGTGTATGCGTGTGTGCGTGTGCATGCGCGTGTGTGAGAGCGCCTAGCTTTTAATCTGGTGAGTTTCCTTTCAGGTGGAGTCAGTCCTCCAGAAGAATTGGGGTGATCAGCTTAACCAGAATGTGCACTGTGACCCTGAGGCACGGAGCCTCTGTATCATGTATATTGCTTGCTCTCTCCTGCTAGCTCTGAACCGTAATAAGTCCACCTGTGTCTGTTTGTAACCTAATGTTGGCCTGGATCCTATGCATGGTCTCTGATTAAAAGTAGCAGATTGGGAATAGTGTCTTCTCTCTATTGGTTTTTCCTCTTGGCATGGCTGGCTGGTTTCAAAGCCAAGGTCTTCGCTACCACTAGACAAACGAGGTGACACTGAGCCACACCCCAGTCCTCCTCCTCCTCTAGAAATCTCATTAGATGGCAGAAAGAGGAACAGGCTAGGGGTGGTGGCACACACCTGTGACCCCAGCACTCAGGAGGGGAGTGGAGGGAAAGATCAGGAGGAGAGGGGAGGATCAGGAGGGGAGGGGAGGATCAGGAGGAGAGGATCAGGAGGAGAGGGGAGGATCAGGGGGGGGAGGATCAGGAGGGGAGGATCAGGAGTCCAAGGCCGTTGTACCAGTCAGGTGCTCAGAGGAGCAGAACTGACCGATGAATATACAAATATTCATTCATTTTATATATAGAAAGGGGGTTTATTAGAATGGCTTACAGGCTGTGGTCCAGCAAGTCCAACAATGGCTGTCTGTCAACAGACAGTCCAAGAATCCAGTAGTCACTCGGTTCCCAAGGCTGGATGTCTGGTCTCCAGTATATGCTGGGATCTCACAGTAGACTGTCATGCCAGTGAAGGGATGGACCTACCAGCAAGAGCAAGCAGGCAGAGAGACCTAGCTTCCTCCTTCCGTGTCCGTAATATAGGCTGCCAGCAGAAGGTGTAGCCCAGATTAAAGGTGTATTTACCACTTTATTTTTTTATTTTATTTTATTTTTGGTTTTTCGAGACAGGGTTTCTCTGTGGCTTTGGAGCCTGTCCTGGAACTAGCTCTGTAGACCAGGCTGGTCTCGAACTCACAGAGATCCACCTGCCTCTGCCTCCTGAGTGCTGGGATTAAAGGCGTGCGCCACCATCGCCTGGCTGGATTTACCACTTTAAAAGATATGGGTTAGAAATGCGTCTTTCCACTTCAGATGCTTTAATTAAGAAAAAAAATCCAACCTACATCCAGAAAGACAAATATCATATGTACTCACTCATAAGTGGTTTTTAGACATAAAGCAAAGAAAACCAGCCTACAATCCACAACCCCGGAGAACCTAGACAACAGAGAGGATCCTAAGAGGCATACATGGATCTACATAGGAAGGAGATAAAGACAAGATCTCCTGGGTAAACTGAGAGCATGGGGGTCACTGGAGATGGTAGAAGGAGAGAGGAGAGGAAGGGAGAGGAGTGGGGAAAAATGCATAGCTCAATAAAAATAATAAAAAAGAACAAAAATCTGTCACAGGTATGTCCAGCCATTTGGGTTTTATTTAATTTCAGATTAACTAACTTGACAACCAAGAACAGCCATCACAATCGTTGTCTGCCACTTTGGGAATTTTGAGGCCAGCCAGGGCTACATGAGATCACATCTCAAAAGACAAAAGCAGGGCTGGAGAGATGGCTCAGCGGTTAAGAACATTGTCTGCTCTTCCAAAGGTCCTGAGTTCAATTCCTAGCAACCACATGGTGGCTCACAACCATCTGTAATGAGTTCTGGTGCCCTCTTCTGGCTTTCAGCCGTACACACAGAAAGACTATTGTATGCATAATAAATATTTTTTAAAAATACTTATTTATTATGTATACAATATTCTTTCTATGTGTATGCCTGCAGGCCAGAAGAAGGCACCAGACCCCATTACAGATGGTTGTGAGCCACCATGTGGTTGCTGGGAATTGAACTCAGGACCTCTGGAAGAGCAGACAGTGCTCTTAACCACTGAGCCATCTCTCCAGCCCCATAATAAATATTTTTAAAAAAGACAAAAACAAACAAAAATAAAACAAACCAAACTCACAAAGGAATAGGAAAACAAACTGGCTAAAGAGGCCTAACTTAACATTAGTGGAGTCATGATGGGCTGCAGACTAATAATACTGGGACTAGGCTCCACCCTTAAAATAACCAGGAAAAAACGCAAACTGTACCCTACGGGGGACCAATCAGAATTGAGACAAACAAGTACTAGATGCTCCAGAAGAATAGCTTATATAACTTGTATAGAGGTTAGAATTTTCCTTGCAGCAATGTAGTACCAATCCCTGTTTGACAAGACTGTTGCCCCACTCCTGCCCAATCAGGAGTTCAACCCCTATCTGAATCTCCTACCCTTTACTCCTTAAAAACCCTGCCATAGCTGAGCTCAGGGCTCTCCCTGATTCAACTGTTGTGTCGGAACGGATGGAGAGCCCATGTTTGAGCCTGCAATAAAGGCTCTTTGCTTTTACATAGGAACCTGGGACTCTTGGTGGTCTCTGGGGGGGCTCATGATGTGGGTATAACATTAGCAACAGAAAAGAAGTTTAAACACTTATTTGGGATCTAGAAAGCAATGCAAGCTGGGTGGTGTGGGCCGGAGGGTGCAGAGGAGTGAGCAAGAGAGTTGTTTTCATCATAGGTGTTCTAGAAGAACTGCAGAAGCTCAACACCAGAGACCTAGGATCCCCCAACCTGTCGGGCTAATGAAATGAAAACAGTTTTTTAAATTTTTTTCTTATTTATTAAGACTTATTTATTATTAAGACTCAGCAGAAGAGGGTACCAAATCTCATTGCAGATGGTTGTGAGTCGCCATGTAGTTGCTGGGAATTGAACTCAGGACCTCTGGAAGAGGAGTCAGTGCTCTTAATCTCTGAGCCATCTCTCCAGCCCCAACAGTTTTTTTTTTGTTTGGTTTTTTGGTTTTTCAAGACAAAAGTTTTGGCCTCAAAGTCACAGAGATCCCTTGCCTCTGCTTCCCGAGTGCTGGGATTAAAGGCCTGTGCCACCATCGCTGAGCCATGAGTACAATTCTTAAAAGAAGGAACACAAAGCTTGAGAAGTATTCAACAGCCCTAACAACCAGGGAAATGCAAATTAAAACTGCTTCTTCAGTTCCTCTCGCCCCAGTTAGAGTGGCTAGCATCAAGAAACAAATGACAAGAAATGCTGGTGGCAGTGTGAAGGAAGAAAAAAGCTATGGTCACTGATGGAGGGAGGGAAAGGCACTGTGGCTCGGCTACATCATCTTTGAGTCTGTACCTGAAGGGCTCTAAGCCCACAGACACATCACACAGGCACGTGCACATCCATGTTTGCTGCTCAATTCTTCACAGCACCTAAGCAGTGGAGGGAGCCTACATGTCCATCAGTACATGGATGGGTAAAGTGTTTGGTCGGAAGCATCACCTCTTTATACAAAACCCTGGTACCCTTTATACAAAGAGCCTGGCATATTTAGTCGGGGGCTTCACCCCAGCCCCTTGGTATTCATTTTTGGAATGTTGGGTGGAAAACTCCATTCCAAGCTCCCTCCCCTGGGAAGTCGCCTTAGTCCAAACTCCACCTCAGAGAAAGCTGGCCAAATGGTTAACCCCTCCCCAGGGAAGGTCAGGAACACCCCCACAGGCTATGTCAGCTGCCCCCCAGAGAATGAATGTGTGGTCTCCTCTCTTCCCCTCTCCATGTTTCCCCAGGGCCACCCGGGAGCATTCTGTTAAACATGGGCATCTTTAATTCGGTCTGATTGGGATTATTTGCGTAGGCAGAGAGGCTCGTCTAAGAAAATACCAAAATACCTAACATAAAGAAAATGTGGTACATACATCCTATGGGGTTCGTGCAGCTGTAAAGACAAATGAGATATAGAAAATGAAAATATGAAAATAGGCTGGACAAAGAGGCACACACCTTTAATTCCAGCACTAGGGAGACAGGGGCAGGAGGATCTCTCTGAGTTCAAGGCCAGCCTGGTCTACATAGCAAGCTCCAGGATAGCCAGGACTACATAGACTCTGCCCCCCCCCCAAAAAAAAACCAAAACAAATTCAAGCACACACATACACATGTGTGCTTACACATACATAAATATACATGCACACACTTGTACACACACACTCATAGATACACGCACACATGGATGTGTGCATACACACTTTCACACATACTTACATACTCACACACACACACATGTGCATACAAACAGGATCTGCACTGGAGAATGTGCTAGCTCTGTCTCCCTTCAAGGTGACCATTGGACTCAGATTTTGCCTCGGGTGAACCTAGGGTTCCTAGTTTGGGGGAGTCTCCCCAACAGGGATGGCACATACTTTAAGTAAAATACAAGCCAAGGGAAAATCCTAATATAAATTACAAGTTTTTTGGGTTTTGTACTTAATGGTACTAAAATATACATATAAAATCTGTGGGGGTAGGCTAAGACCAGTTTTTTAAAACAGAAAAATATGAACTGCCTTAATAATTTATATTAGAAGAAAAAAAATCAGGGCTATAGCCTGTAGAGCTGGGTCAGTAATTAAAGCACTTACCGCATAAGCAAGCAGTAGGGCTGGAATCCCGATCCCCAGAAGCCAAGCAAATGCTATTTCAGGTGTGGTGACCGCCCGGATTGCAGCCTCGGAAGGGGAACCTGGAGTAAGCTGGTTATCGAGAGCAGCCATATCTGTTAGCTCTAGGTTTGACTGAGAGACCCTGCCTCAAAGGCCGTGGAAGATTGAGTGAAGACTCAGTAATAGCAGTCTAACAGTGTGGTCAAGGGAAGATGCAGGTCAACCCTCCTCACTAGCTCAGAGGAAAAAGCAGAAAAAACCAAACCAAGCAATAAAAAGGATCTATCCTTGCTAATCTGAGGCTTCAATCTGGTTTACATTGCAGATTTTTTTAGCCCATTTACAATTTTAACTGGGCATGGTTGCTCATTCCTATAGTCCCAGCTCTCAGGATGCAGGCTGGAGGATTTCAGCAAATACCAGGCCAGCTGGGGCTACACGGAGAGAGACTGTCTCCAAACAAACAAAATAAACCAAGGAAAGAAATTTAAGAAGGAAAATGATGTGATTGTTTCAATGGAAATGAAAAAGCACTCTGTAAAATTCAGTATGTACTCATTTCCTAGAAGACCAGGAACACACAGGCACTGCTTTAACCCGATCAGAGTACACGGAAACACACAGTAAGCTAAGCCACCACAGAGGAAATGTTTATGTGCGTTCTCTCTGAGTCTGGCAGGATGGGCATGCACACTCACACTGGCTCCTCCTCACACTGTACAGGAGAGCCAGCAAGACCAGGCCAGCAAGGGCAAGAGGCCAGGCAGGTGAGACTCGTGAAAGGAGAAGGCAAAAGAGGAGAGCAGTACTGTGACGAGATGATCAAATATATGAATCAAAACTGCAGATTTACAGATGAATTATGAAAATACAGTATTTTGACTGATCACCAATAAATGCAAAATGAAATTTGTACAACATGAAATACTTCGGAAAGTATCGGACAAAGGGTATAAGAGGGCTCAACTCCCTTGTTAATATGAGAGATCTTAGAGAAGATTAAACAAAAGATAAATACAATACTGAAGAGTTAGAAGACACAATATCGTGAAAATATTGACTTTTCTCACAGTAACTTCAGATCAGTACAATCCCAACAGTTGCCTGTCTGGTCTGAAAATGCAAAGGATTAAAACCAGCCACAATCTTCAAAAAGAATACTGCTTATTTATTGATTTATTTTTATTTTTGTATGTGTGTGTGTGTGTGTGTGTGCCTGCATGAGCTTAGGTGCATCATGTGCATGCAGTACCTAAGGAGACCAGAAGAGGGTGTTGCATTCCCTGGTACCGGTGTTACAGGAGGTTGTGGGCTGCCTGATGTGGGTACTTCGAACCGAACCCAGGTCTTCTGCAAGAGCAGTAAGTGCTCATAACAGCTGAGTCATCCCTCCAACCCCAGCCACAATTTTCTTCAAAAAGAACAAGGTAGAAAAACTTGTTCCCCTAGATTAAAGATTGATTATAAAATAAAACCTGTAACATTTTAGTGTGATGTTGGAGCTGCTGTAGACAAAAACAAAAGCAGATGAGATGCCTCCGGAATGGATCCCATGTGTACGAGGACATCTGATACAGGAGAGAGTAAGGACCGAGGATTAGTGGGAAAGACCAGTGCCAGGACAATAGACGACCCCAGAGGGAATTGTTGAAAGCCCAGCCCTTCACACAGTATTCACTCCAGAAGCACTCTGATTCAACCTGCAAAAGGCCAAACTGTAATTACAGTAACATCAAAACTTCAGTTTCATTGAAAATATATCACAAGTGGGGTAGAGGCAGCACAGAGTGAGAGACGCTACTCAAACCGAGGCACCTTTTGGAGACCGCCATCCGGGACGTGAAGGGGCTCGAACCGTTCGGTAACAAAAGAATGAACCACAGAGAAAGAGGTGAGTGATTTCAACAGCGCTATTTTTAGTGTCTATGTAAAATGTTCCATACGTTCATGTGTTTGGAACCTCCTCCAGTTGGAAGCATTGTTTTGGAGGTTGTAGATGTACTGGGATGGAGGGCCTAGGTCCTGACACAGGTCACACAGGGTAGGTCTTAAGGGCGACAGCTTAGCTCTGCTTCCAGATCCCACAAGATGTGCATAGGTCACTTAGCAAACTCCTGCTGCCCCGGGTGGGGCCACCCCAATTGCTCCACCTTCCCTACCACCATAGACTGGCAGCCCCTAAATCAGGAGCCAGCAAGAACTTTCATACAACGCAAGCTGGTACAACCAACTTGAATACGAGTTTGGTTTATACATGGAAAAGTTGTCTTTACTTTGACGGTAGGTAGCTCAGTGTTTACTGGCTGTGCTGGCTCGCTTTGGGACAACTTCACACAAGCTAGAGTCATCAGAGAGGAGGGAGTCTCAGCTGAGAAAATGCCTCCATGAGATCAGGCTGTAGGCAAGTCTGTAGGGCATTTCCTTAGCCAGTGATTGCTATGGCAGGGCTCAGCCCATTGTGGGCTGGTGGTACTGGGTTCTATAAGAAAGCAGGCTGAGCAAACAACCGGAGCAAGCCAGTAAGCAGCACCCCTCCATGGCCTCTGCATCAGCTTCTGCCTCCAGGTTCCTGCCCTGCTTTTGATCTTTTTAATGATGAACTATTACATGGAACTGTGAGAGAAATAAACCCTTTCCTTCTCAAGTTGCTCTTGGTCATGGCGTTTCATCATGGAAATAACCTGTCGTGAAGAGGTGAGATGAAAACTTAGTCCAGATTGACTTCATCAACCTGGATTAAGACGTCAGGGAGGGGGCTGGAGAAATGGCTCGGAGGTTAAGAACACTGGCTGCTCTTCCAGAGGACCTGGGTTCAATTCTCAGCACCTACATGGCAGCTCACAACTGTCTATAACTCCAGTTCCAAGGGACTGAACACCCTTACGCAGACATACTTGCAGGCATAAAACCAATACACATAAAACAAAATAAATAAATAAAAATACAAGACTTCAGAAAGTCTGATACCAGGCAGTATTGCCAGTATATTGAAACAGCATAATTCGGGGAAAAAAAGGTTCCTGGTGTAATATAATCCTCATTGCACAAGAAAGCATAATTACATCAAAATCAACTCAGCTATATACCATTTCTTTCAAGAAGATGGAGATCGGCTACCAGATAGGCTACCTGTGTATACTAACTTAAGGGCCTAAGGCAGGATCTGGCTTGGTATTGGCCATACAGATATTATAGAGGTCATTTGAGCTATTAGCTATCTCTGATCCTGTTGTGGGAGCTTGGGGGAGCCCTTGGCTACACAGATAATGTAAGGATCGTTTAGACTATTAGGTTGTGGGAGCCTGGGGAGCCCCTGGCTGTAAGGGTCATTTAGGTTACTAGGCACCTCCAGTCCTGGTTATAGGAGCTTGATATGGCCTGGCATTATGCAGACCACCATGCTGTCCATCACTTCCTGAAACTGGAATTATGGATGGCTGTGAGCTACCATGTGGGTGCTGGGAATTGAACCGGGGTCCTCTCCAAGAGCAGCTGAGCCATCTCTCTAGCCTGAAATGTTGTTCTTCAAAGTTTGTATGATCAGTAATTTTCTTTTACTTCAATGGTATTTTGCATATGGCCTGAGAATTTTTACTGAAGTATATTATTTGAACTATACAGTAAATGCACTAACAGTTTCAAGCAAAAGCACCCACAAGTCAGAAAGGCAAGACTCCCACAATTAAAACGGAAGCCTTTCCACACTGCAGAAGTCAGATGGATATTAGACCAAACAAATGGGATCCAAATGTTCCTCATTAATAATCTACTAATGTTGGAAAATACCCTTGTAGCAGTACAAAGCACAAAACATTTAACCGTGATGCTTGGTAGATAACAGTTAGGTGACATTTGACTTTTATGATAGACTCAAGATGAAAGAGGGCTGGGACTTTCCCAACACTACACCATGAGGATGAAGTGACAGTATTTGTTTTTATTGAATAATGTGAAGATGTAACTTTGTTGCCATTTCAGGACCTTTTTTATGCTAATAAAGAGAAGATGACAGTCACTGAACTTAATTTCCGTTTTACCATCCAACACGCCCTTCCTATTTTGCTGTATTATATCTAAATGGGTTATTTTGGATTAGGGTGTTGTGGGTGGGGGAGTGTGACCCAGTAAGCCACCAGGAAACAGTTTCAAAGCTCAAAATAAATAGTGAGCAGGGGAACCAAAAGTTGACTTCTGGATGCAGACTCAGTAGCTAATTTAATTCATTATAACTCTCTAAGTAGGCAGATTCAGGCCTGCAAAGTTATCTTTAGTAACAAGTGGAAGCTAGCTTCGGCTACAGAAGACCACGTCTCAAAAGATCAGATAACATCACGAGAGACAAAGTAAAGACTGCCAAGGTCATGTTTAAGTAGGTAAAGTCGAGTAATAGGAATTACAGGAATCACAGGCTGGCCTGCAACTCGCTGTGTAGCCCAGGTTGGCCTCAGCCTCGCTGCAACCTTCCTGCCTGTGCCTCTCGAGTGCTGGGATTACAGGTGTGGCCTACCACAGCCAGCTACGATGTTTAATACATTTTTCAAGGACGAAGCTTTAAAGTATAAAAGAGTGTGATGCTTGATAAAATCAGCAATGGGAGGGGGACAAGGAAGAAAGCGATGGGTGGATGCGTGACTCCAAGTCAACGCGAAGCAGAAAGGAGAGCGGGTGTGGCGGCTGTGACTGTAATCTCAGCAACCAGAAGGCCCAGGCAGGAACACAACAAGGACTCCAAGGCTAGCATGGGCTAAGAGTAGGCTGGTGTCTCCAAAACACATACACACAAAGGAAAGGAAGGAAGGGATGAAGGGAGGGGAGGAGGGAGGGGAAGAGGAAAGAGGGGGAGGGGTTCTACACATGAGGAATGAATGTGCTTTGTCCAGGAGGCAGAAAAATGAGGCTGGTAAGAGGGAAGAGCTCAAACTGAGATTTTTAGATTTTCAGAGCTCTCTCTCCTCATCTCTCTCCTCTCCCTCCCTCCCTCCTGGAACCAGCTCTGTAGTCCAGGCTGGCTTCTAAGTCACAGATCCACCTGCCTCTGCCTCCAGAGTGCTGGTATTAAAGACGTGCGCCATCACTGCCTGGCATTAAAAAACAAAATTAAAAAATGCATTATACATGTCTTGATAGAAGTAATTTCAAACAAATTAATATATGGAAAATAGAAATGTTTTATTATACTTCACTTCTCTTTTTGACCTTAATACCAGGTACAAAGCACGTTTTAGTTTATAGACAACAGAACATATTTCATTTCAAGCATCCACTAACACTAACTTCCCCTCACACACAGGCGGTACTGAATCAAACCCTTCTTAGCGGTGCCATGTCAGCTCTTCTGTTCTAAACGCACGTTCCCAGAGTCTTGCTCTTACTGATCTTACTGTATGGAGGCGTCTATGATGCTCTTAGATGGGAACAAATCTGTCTCCACCTTCAGAGGCAAGTAACCACGCTTTCATCTCTGGGCTTGAAGTTTATGGGCAAGACTTAGCTCCGTAGGTATGGACAGAAACACAGATCTGACAGGTGACATCGGCATCAGGACTGAATGTACCAGGACTACAGACCACTGCAAGAGAAAATGCAGGCCGTCCGTCAGTCACTATAGTTCACATATCAACAACACAAAAGCATCTTCAATATTACACCTTTTCATATAGGATACCTATACCTATTTAGCCAATTAGGTTGTGAAGATTACCTCAAATTTTGTAATGTGATAATCTTAAAAATGGGAGTGTTGTGGAATATTACTTTGATTATGTAAAGATGTGTTATATTTATGTTGCAGACTGTTACCTTAACTATGTAAAGGTGTGTTACACTTGTTTATGTTGCAGACTGTTACCTTAACTATGTAAAGGTGTGTTACACTTGTTTATGTTGCAGACTGTTACCTTAACTGTGTAAAGGTGTGTTACACTTGTTTATGCTGCATTTGTTTAACAATGTAAAGCTATGTTGCTCTGCCTGTCTAAGGCATCTGATTGGTATAATACAAAGCTGAATGACCAATAGCTAGGCAGTAGAGGGATAGGTGGAGTTGGTGGGCAGAGAGGATAAGTAGGAGGAGGAATCTAGGCTCTGGAGAGAATAGAAGAGACGGAGGGAGAAAGAAGACGCCTGGGACCAGCCAGCCGGGCAGTCACCAGCCAGTCAGACATGGAGTAGGACGTACAGAATGAAAGAAAGGTAAAAAGCCCTGAGGCAAAAACATAGATGAAGAGAAACAGGTTATAATAAATTATAAGAGGTCGTGGGACGAGCATCAGATAAGGCTGAGTTCTCATAACTAACGATAAGTCTGCGCGTTATCATTTGGGGGCTGGTGGTCTGAGAAAGCCTGTTACGGGCAAGAGTCTATAAATGCTGTGTTTTCCTTTCTATCAGTCCTCGCCGTCTCAGTGCCTCATTTATAAGTGCCTGCCTGCAGTTTGTACCTCGTGTCCTAGCTTTGTGCTTCCCAGGCAGGACCATTCGGCTGTCCTGCACAGAACTGTATTGTATGTCAGAACACTATGGAAATGCTTTGCCAACTAAGAGAGGACAGTACAAAAAATATGCATTGGGATTTAGAAATATGGGCTTTCAAGGTTTTTTACTTCTCTTTTCTATGAAAGGATCAATGAGAAGATCCGGTTCAATAACCCTTGTGGGCTGTCCATCTTTTCTCTGGAACATACAGACATTTAGGAATTTATATTGTATAATTACCGCAGCAGCTAGCACAATTGGTGTGCAGACCTTCGTTCTTCCCAAAGCCTGGCCGACAGTTATCTATGCGCACTACTTGAAAGCTGTGGTCCACGAAGTGCATCGCTGGTATAGTTTTATTAACGTGATGGTGCAAAATGTATGCCTGGCTCCGGAAAAACTCTTCTATCCGATCTCTTGCCTGAGATTTAGAAATAGCAGAGAAAACTACAATTACTAATTCAACAATCAAAGTCTTCACGAATCACAGGCCATAAAATGTAGCAGAAATATTTCTTGCTCATGCATCAAATGAAATCCTGAAAAATCTATGTTAAAATCTAGAGTGAGTCTTGCTTTGACTTCACTAATTACTGTTAATTTATATAGGAAGTGGTTAAGGAAAACAGTTATAAAAACTTGTTTTAGGAATGGCTCAGGTGGCCAAGCACTTCCCTTGCCTGTAATCCCAGTGCTGGGGAGGTGGAGGCAGGAGAATTCCTGGGGTGTGCTAGACAGACGGTCTAGCCTAACCAAGAAGAGACCCTGTCTCAAAGGAGGAGAGTGTTCACCTGAGATTGACACCTGAAAAGTGGTACTGTAGCCTACACACACCCCATGGACCTGCACACACCCCATGGACCTACACACACACACGCACACACGCACACACACCCCATGGACCTGCACACACGCACACGCGCACACGCACATACGCACACACGCACACACACACGCACACACCCCATGGACCTGCACACACACACACGCACACACACCCCATGGACCTACACACACACACGCACGCACATACGCACACGCGCACACACACGCACACACACACGCACACACGCACATACGCACACGCACACACACAGGCTTGCTTTGATTTGTTTATGATAGTTTTTCCATACATAAATTAAGCATGATCTCTAACTTTCTAAGTCACGATGGAGAGATGGTGCAGCAGTTAAGGGTATGCTCTTCCTGAGGATCTAGGTTCAATTCGTAGCACCCACATGGCAGTTCACAACTGCCTGTAACTCCAATTCCAGATGATCCTATGACTTTCCCTGGCCTTCTCAGGCACTAGGCATGTATATGACACACAGACATACACGCAGGCCAAAACTAATGTACACAAAATACACAAATAAAATTTTAAAAGATCAAAGCAAAATAGAAATCAAGGCTTTAATTAGCATTACAACTAATTGTGTGATTCTGGCTCCGGGACATGCTGTAATAATAACTAAGCCTAAAAGAGGACTTCTTAGATCACACTATAGGTATAGGGAACACGACAGAATGAAGACACTTTTTGGCTGCTCTTGTTTTTCAAGACAAGGCTTCCCTGTGTAGTCCTGGCTGTCCTGGAACTCAACTCTGCAGACTGCCCGCCTCTGTCTTCTGAGTGCTGGGATTAAAGTGCCTACCACCACCACTGGGTCACAAACATAATTTTAAAAATTTAGAAGGAATAAATTTAAATCATTCTTTAAAAAGCTTGAGCAGGCACACGCCTTTAATCCCAGCACTCGGGAGGTAGATCTCTGTGAGTTTGAGGCCAGCCTGATCTACAGAGCAAGTTACAGGACGGGCTCCAAAGCTACAGAGAAACCCTGTCTTGAAAAACCAAAACCAGACCAAACAAAACAAACAACAACAAAAACAAAAAACCTTGAGCAGTAGTGTTGTGTTTCATATGTGTTATATGTATACATATATTGTGTGTGAATGAGTACCACATATACATATGTGGGTGCATGCATACCATGGTTTGCATGTGGAAGTCAGAGGACATCCTGAGATGGATTCTTTAGGAATGTTTTTCTTTTGACATAGGTTTTCATGTAGCCCAGACTGGCTTTGAACTCCTACTAATAAGACAAAGCATTTACCAAAATCTTTCTAGGTCACTCAAGGGCTTTCCCATCAGGATGTGGGCTCACCTTGAGGATGTTACGGTTAGTGGCATCTTCACAGTCAGAAGAGTTGTTGCACACACTTTTCCAGCCTGGTGCAAAAGGATTCACTGGAGAGAAAGACAGGACAGGTACACACCAGCTTCTAAAGAGTGTCACACACTCCAGTAAAGCCCCACATGGTTGGTATGCAGACTTATGTGCGTCAAAGCAGCTCTAACCAGAATAGTAAGGTTAGGCACAGTTTGAATAGCATGCACTGTGACTTTACTCCATCTGGGGGCTAGTGGGAGTAACTACAAGATGAGAACGGAAATAGATTGGGTTTGGGTATTCCCTCTCAAGTCATCAAGAATAAAAAACAATAAAACGTCTTTCCTAAAATTGCATAGTTAGAGGTTATGTTAATAAAATGATACTGACTTAAAACCATAACTATTGTATTTGGAGGCAAACAGCTGGTCTGCTGACGTTTAAAGCACAAGCAGCCATTAGTATATATTAGTGATTAGCAAACATTTCAAACCTGTCATTTATGAGACCTCTCGCATTTACAGGACAGTTAATTTTACAATCTTATCATGGTTTTTGACTAAAGTTATAAAACCAACGTTGTAAAATTGTTTCACCTTGAAAGGCTATGAATAGCTCATACACGAAGTCGCCCTCCGGAGTTTTAACAGAATGGCACTTATATGATGGTTCTATGACATGGCACAACAAATCAGAGATTAAATTATCCAGGATTTTCTTCAGCACCCGAAAGAGCAGGTCATTATATCTTCCGACACACGATTTCGTGGTAAAACGCACAGCCATGTGATAAGAATAATCAGGCTCCCGATAGGCTTTGGGAAAAGGTGAGAAGAAAAACAATTGTGCCTTGCGTTAATCTCTGCTGCTAAAAAAACAATTCAAACACATGTAATATCAAACATCATTAATCTTTCAAGTCAGCTTGGAAATTTTACTTATCTAAGAGAATACTCCACGAGTCTGTTTATGAAATACATATAACCAATAATTTTAATGAAAAAAGTCATTGTCATCTGGTACCCACCTACTTAGGACAACTGGCCTCTGTGGGGTGGCAATATGGGGAAGCTAAGAGTATCAAGAAAACATCGGAGCTGGAGACACAAGCTCAATAGTTGAGAGCTGCGGGGCCGGCACCCACAGCAGGTGGCTCCTACCTGCTTATAATTTCATCTCCAGGTTGTCACACGCCCGCTCTCTCTCCGGGACTCACAGGCACGTAACCCCCACACACACATAAACATAATAACTCTTAAAATGTAAGAATGTTTCTGGGGAGCTGGGGAGATGGCTCATGTGCTTATACAATTATCATATTATAATTAAATATATTATTACCAAAGATCATAAAGTCGTATCTCTTCTTTATTGTAGTTTCCTCTTGGGTTTCTGCTTTGATAGTCTTATAGGAAAGAGTGCACGTGTAAAGTCCAGATAATGACTCTATAAAGTCTTTCACCACCAGTTTTCCTGTGTTTGTTATATTTATTTGGCGATTCCCTAATCAGAAGGAGGAAATTACTTGGTTACTTAACAGGTAACTTAATCATTTTTCAGTAAACTCAGGGCTGTAAACAAACATGCCAAAAAAATAAAATTAACTATTTCAACTTCAAGAACCCAATAGAAAATTAAGACAGGGTCTCACTGTATAGTGCCTGCCTGGACTTGAACTCAGAGATCTGCCTACCTCTGCCTTCTGAGTGCTGGAATTAAGGGAGTGTGGCACCACGCCCAGTAACCCAGAAAAAAAAACCCCTTAATTGTCATATTACTCTATGGAAAAGCTACATAAGCTGGGTACTCTTTTGAAATCTTTGTTAATTTATTTCTTGGTATCTAGTTTTGACAGATTCACGTCAGTAATTCAGTAAATTTATATATGTATGTATACATATATATCTACATAAGACAAATGGATAATGCTGATATCCTAAGGTATTCTTCTAAGATGAAAAATTACATACTCAATCTCTCATATCACTGGCGTTTCATGGGTAAACCTCAGTGCTTATGAAAACTGTTGAATAGCTTTGGGAAGTGGGGCACAAAAATCACTGCCTGAGCCTAGCAGGACAGCCCAGTGGACGAGGCTTAAGAGGCTGACTCTGTACTCAATTCCAAGCACTAGGAAAAAAAACAATAAAAACCCATCTCTTTGGTTAGCTCAGGCTACCTTCAAACTTGTAATCCTCCTGTCTCAGCCTCTTGAGTGTTTTGCTCACAGGCCTGTGCCATCCTTTGAATCTGCTTTAGTTTTTGCATAGGAAGAACTTAAGTCATAGAGTCAAAAGAAATAACAACTTATCTAAATGTTGAGCAAATTTAACTATAGTTAAAATTAAATTTATTGGGGCTGGAAAGATTGCCCAGTGTTTAAGAGCATTTGTTTCAGAGGACCTGGCTTCTATTCCCAGCCATCTACATGGTGGTTCACAACCATTAGTAAACTCTAGTTCCATGGATCCAATACCCTCTTCTGAGCTCCGAGGGCATCAGGCGTGCATGTAGTGTACATTCATGCATGCAGGCAAAAAAAAAATACACATAAAAATAAAATAAATTTTGTTTTGAATTTGTTCTTTTCAACAATGACAGCACTTTAAAAAACAATGTTCACATCATTAAAATATATTAAAATAATTTACCTTGTAATGTGTTTTCATTTGGCCCAATCCACAAGTAGGCGGGGTCCACTATTTCTTTATTAGCACGATTAATATCCATACAAATAAGGACAGGGCTATTATGATGTAACTTTACGTATATTTTCACTGTGACAAAACAAATTTTTGCAGTAACTATATTATACTACAAAAGAAAGAAACACACTCCTATTTATTTGTCCCAATAATACCAATTAATTCTTTCTGGATTTCAGTACTTAAAGTGGTCAGAACATGTTGGATGCTAGTTGTCATTCAGAATGAAGTCATTTTTGCTTCTCATAGTAAGCCTTTAAACCATACCTTGTCGGGATATATAAATTGTGTATATTATTTAAAATATATATAAAAATATATAAACAATATATTTATAAATTCTGTGATAGCCCATTAAAATGTAAGTGCCTTACAACGTACACATTCATAAATAGCTCCAATAATTGTTTGAAGGGATCGTGGAGTTAATGTTCAGAGGATATGAGCTTGACTGATAAACTATTTCAAAACTGAAAACTTGGTATTTTCCTTGCGCTTCCTGTTGTCCCACGACTAGGAAGGTGTTCTGTCGAGATCTCCACTGACTCGGTGGAAGCTGCGACAGTACGTGATCTCAAGATATTTCAGGCCCAGTCATTGCCAGGGTCTGAATCTATAAAGGCTATCGTACAATTGGGTGGTGTAGTTGCGGTGTTGGGAAGGGAAAGGCCTTAAATGTGGAAATGGTCTATACACAACACAGTGAAGTGGCTCAAAGTTATCTCAAAACAGCTGGCTCACTAATGTTTCCTGAAGAGTGTAGGAAAGTTAAACTACAGAGGGTAACATGGGAGCAGGAGCTTGATAATACCCAAGGAGAGAAGAGCCTTCCAGAAGGATGTCCACCCTGCTAAGTGGCTTCCCCCGTTACAAAGCAGGAGTATTTGGAAGAGAGGTGATCAGATCCCCAGAACTACGATGAAGAATGGGACATAAGACAAGCGTTGCTTTGAGGACGAAATGTTGCAAACTCCCGAAACTGCAGAATTCAGAGCAGACGTCACACCGGCTCGCTCCCTTTCCCCTCCAGGGCAGAACCTAAGCAGGTGCACGGCATCCCCAGCTCTGGGGACAGGCCTTGCGTGGGAAGAGGCACTTATTACCTGGCTGTTCTATCGTGCCATACACAAAGCCTTTCTTACTGAATAAGGAAGAACGCTGCGTTCCAACTGCGGAGGAAAGAAAACCTCTGAGTTATTAGTGTTTAGGGGACCCAGGGTTCCGCAGGGAGCAGGCGAGGGGAGGCGCGGAAGAGGTGGGACAGAGGGCGTGGGAGGAGCCTGCGGGCCAAGCCCCACCTCCTACGAGAGACCAGAGCACCGCGGAGAAGAGGGCCCACACGCGCATCACGGCTCAGGCACTAGCGGAGACAGCCGGGCTTCCTCCTACCCCAGGCCGGGCCCAACGCCTCCCCATCGCTCCTCTACAGAGCGAAGCAAACCGCCGAGGGCATTTCCCCCTACCGGTCCGTGGCTACCACGGGGGCGGCTGCGCCCGAGAGCGCCTGCGTGTTCCGGCTTGGCGCGAGGGGCGGGGCGAGCGCGCGGAAGGGGAGCCCCGCCTCCCAGCGCCTGCGCAGTCGCAGAGCGCTGCCGCCGCCGAGCGTTTAGCACCTATCTTGGGGTGCCATGTTCCCACACTCTAGCTCTGGTCAGCACGGTTGTATGAAGAGCGGGTAAAGGAAACGAGCTCAAGATTTCCTCAGACGAGGGGTTGAAGAAACCGACGGGAGAACACAGTGGGTCCCTAGGACCGTGCTGGCGCCGAGCAGCCCGAGGGTGCCATCGTCTGGGGAGCTGAAGAAGGGAGAAGTTTGTGAGACTTTCCTAAGAGCGAGGGCCCAGCTCGGGAACTCCCTGGTCTGACATAAAACTGGCGTTGCCGGATCTGTCAAAGCGTCACACAAAACCAAGATCTCGAAGAGCGTTCAGTACCCCGAAAGGGTGCTCCCAGATCTTCCCACGTGGAGAAAAGCCGAACCTTTAGTTTTCAGCTGAGGGTGTGAGATGATGTAGAGGGACACCCCCTTATGCAAATTGACTCGGAAGTAACTTTGCTTTAGAAAATGGGCCCCATCGAAGGGCAAGAGCGTATGATCTTTTCCTCAGCTGGTGTAAGATAAGTCCATATCAGGGAGGTCCGAAACAGTCTTTCAAAGGTCCGCTCCCCAACCCCACGCTGGGACCAAACCCAGGACCTTCACTGAGCTGATTGTCAACTGCACCGTGCGTGGTCCCATCTTGACTACTATTTAGGTGACCCGAAAGGCCCCGTGTGTTGTTTATTTCTTAGCAGTAGGGCACCATCCTCAGTAGTGGTTTTGAGTAGGTTGGTAGGGAGAGAGCCCAAGGTTCAGATAGGGTGCAGCATGGTTCTTGGGGGTGAGATCAAGGGTTTTCAGTTTTATTTTCTTTGAGCCAAGTCAGTATTTGGACTGTCTCAGATGGTCCAGGAGCAGCCTTCGTCAGTCATTTCGTTTTTAGTCACTGTTAATTTGATCTATATAGCACAAGCATGAAATGTGAGCCAATGAGTCAGATCCAGCCATTGTCAGTTACTACGTCTAGACTCATGGTTTACTCTCAACTGTTAAAACTCTGTATGGGTGTCTTGCTTGCACGTCTGTCTGTCTGCCTGTGCCCTACAGGCATGCACTGCCCACCGAGGCCAGCAAATGGCATTGGATCTGGAACTGGAGTTAAAGATGGCTGCGAGCTGGCATTTGGATGCTGGGAATCAAACATGCATCCTCTAGAACAGCAGCCGATGCCCTCAACTGCTGAGACACCCCGCACTTCAGATTTAATCAAAGCGTTTTCCAAATGTACAATGTGTTATTAACTTCCCACCTGTTGCAATTGATTCTTACAGACTTTGTGTGTTAAAGTTCGACTCCTATGAGAAGAGTCTTAAAAAGAGAATAGTGGGGCAGGAGAGAGCTCAGTGGTTAAGAGTTTATCTGCTTTTCTAGAGGGCCCTAGTTCCAGTACCCTGTTGGGCAGCTTGCAACAGCCGCTAACTCCAGCTCCAGGTGACCGATCCAATGACACCTTCTGGACTCCATGGACACTTGTATTCACCTGTACGTACTCCCATCCCTCTCATATATACACAATTAAAAAATAAAACCTTTAAAAATGGAGTAGTGGTTTGTATTGTGTGGACTCATTCAAAGTGAGCTTTGTACTTTGTAAGTTTTATTTATTTATTTTTGAGACAGGGTCTCTCTGTATCCTTGACTGTCCTCACAGAGGTCTGCCTGCCTCTGCCTTCTGAGTGCTGGAGTTAAAGGTGTATAGCATCATGCTCAGCAAAACTAGGAAAAATCTTAATTGTTATAGTATTGTATGGGAAAGCTACAGGAGGTGGGTGCACTTGTGAAGTCTATGTTGATTTTCTTTATTCTTGACATCTACTCTTGACTGATTTATGTCAGTAATTCAGGAAATGAGACATATTTTTATACAAATCACAAATCTCCCGAGTTACTATTCTAACATAAAATTACATATTCATCATATTCATGTTTGGGACAGATGCATCCTCGAACAGTCCTCCTATTTTATTAATTTCTTTTTGAGACAGGGTTCCTCTGTGTAACAACAACCTGGCTGTCCAGAAACTTGCTTTGTAGACCAGGCTGGCCTTTAACTCACAGAGATCCACCTGCCTCTACCTCCCAATGCTCCCAAGATTAAAGATGTGTGCCTCTATGCCTGTTGTGATACAGTGTTATTGAAGTTCATACTTTATTCATATTTCCTTTCACCCTAGAGTTTCTGACCAGAGCACATTCAGGCTTCCATATTACATTTGTCTGCTCCCCTCAGGCTCCTCTGGGTTATTGACAGTTTCTCAGACTTTTCTTTCTTCTCTTCTTTCTCTCTTTTGGTTGTTGTTGTCTTTGACAGTTAAGGACTGCTTTGTTGATCCTGACTTAACCTTAAATGGTCAAGTATTTTGTAGACAGCCTCTCTGTTGGACTTGGCTTGCTGTTTCTTCTCATTATTGTATAGTAGTATGGATTTCTGTGAGGACAGCAGCTGTAAAATGACATTCCTGATACACCATACCATGTTTTAGCACTTTGATGTTAAATGTGTTCAGCTGGCTGAAGGAGCGTTTGTCAGGTTTCTCCATTATAAGGTTACCCCTCCCTCTTCATACTTTACTATTTGGAAGGATGTCACTATGTGTTCCTTACACTTAAAGAGGGGAGATTCATGCTCCACCTACCTGAGGGTGGAGTAGCTACATAAATGATTGTGGCATCTGCTTTTGACTTATCCCTTCAAGTATCTGTAGCCGGAAATAAGTGTGTGCCCCAAGGTAATGGTCTATTGTTACATATAGAGACTATTGTAACACCAAAGTTTCTAACTTAAGAACCACCAATTAACTATTCGTCCTTATCATCCCTGCGAAAGCTTACAGTTCCTCTTCTGCTACTTTTGATGTGCTATTTTTGCTTTTAGAAACTAACAAACAACAAATTTCCCCTTTCAGTACTAAAATTAAACGTTAGTGTTTAGAGTATTTCTCTGAACTCCGTGTTTTCCTGCAGAACTCTAACTCATGTGTCCGTGGTGATGCTGCTGTGGCTCTGTGATCTTAAAGCCAGTTTGAGCCACTCATATGTTATATATGCATATGTGCATAAATGTAGTATGTATGCATTATATATACACATACTATGTTTGTGGACACATGCATATATATATATATATTGCCTATACCAAGGCACCAGTTAACATGAACTTAGGTTCATAAAATAAATATAAGTGTGCTTAACTCATAAGTATGAATTTTTTCAAATATGGGTGACTGATGTACAAGTCCTCAGCCTTAAATCACACGTGAGTGTGTGCTTGTGTGTGTGTGTGTGTGTGTGTGTGTGTGTTGGTCTTTTTCAGACAGCGCCTCTCTATTATGCAGTCCTGGGTATTCTAGAACTTGATCTGTAGACCAGGCTGGTCTCAAACTCAGCATGCTGAATGCTGGGATCGAAGGTGTTCGCCACCGTGCCCGGCTTCACATATATTCGCATGACTAACAGAATCATTTTCTAGCAAGAACGACAGTGGGAAGTGGGATGGGTCCTTCAACACCTTTGAGCATCCTCAGAAGTGCCTGTCTGAGGGCTGTCTCTTCAGACTTCAGTGTGATGTGCTGAAGCACTGCTGGGAAAACTGTCGCGTTGTCGTTTCCCTCCCCCTCCCTCCAGGCAGATGTTTTGCTCTGTTAGTGCAGACGATGGGAAAGGCTGTTGGTTGGTATGTCTGTCTGCGAACCGACACCTTCCCTTGTTTTCCTTCATCTACCCCACAGAGCTCTCCTCTTTACTCTTCTGACACATCATATGTGTATTTTTGTAAAGTGCCCTATTTAGAAGAAAGAAGATTCCTAGGAAATGAATACACATACGGAGAGTTGTCTTTTTAAGCAGTGGTAAGCCAACCAGTTCTCAGAAAGGACAGAAAATAAGAGAATTGGTCCCTCAAGTTAAAAAGTTGGAGTGCTGTAAATGCCAAGGTACTTTTGAATTATCTTTATAAATCTAGGCCAAGCACTTTTAAAGTTTGTTTTCTGAGAAAATGGCTCATACTGTAGTCCAGGCTGGCCTGGACTTCATGACAATCCTCCTGCCTCAGCCTCTCAAGGCTGGGATTGCAGTGGTGGGCTACTCCAACTGGAATGGAAAAGCCAAGGGTGGGGAAACCTCCATAAATAAACTTAATGAAGTGAGTTCTCATTGATGGCTTTCAATGACTCTCATCCCCGAGTCTAGCTAAAAAGTTCCAGATCGGTCCGTGTCAGGTGAATCTGGAAGTTGTGCTTGCGCACACCGCTCTCTTCCTGCGACAGCGCCCTCATCCCGGGTGTGTCTGAAGTAGACGTCCCGAGACCATCACTGAGGCACTGTTTCCACGATCAGGGTTCCTCAGGCTTGACATTCAAAAGTGGGTTGAGGGTGCGGAACCCGCGGCGCTCCGAGCGTGCTTTTAAGCGGCCGCCAGCCAGCGCCGCTGTGACCCCGCGCACCGGCTGCTGGCCGGTTCCCGAACTGCATCTGCGCCGACGCGACCGAGCCATCCCCGGGCCTCCCCGCGCCGGGAATCTCCCGCCATCCGCGTGGGTCTCCACGGCAAGGAGCACGTGGAGCGACCGCGGAGCCTGAGCGACAGCTGCAGCCCGAGCGGCCCGCGGCGACATGGAAGGTGAGCTCCGCGCCGGGGCGCTGGGGTCTTTGAGCAACCGGAGCGGTGCGCGCAGCGCCAGGGCTTCGTTCTGAATCTCGGTTTTGCTTCTATTTATTTCTTTTTGTTAATTTAAATGCGTGTCGGTTCTCAGACACCCCCTCCCCCAACTTGGGAAAGTGCTAAATTCTCTTCAGTTTTCTTTCTTAGGGGTTGTGAGACGATGGGTGTAAATGGGTCGCCTTAAATCTTCAAAGGAAGAGCGTTCTTGGAGCGTCTCTGAATCTGGCACCAAGCCTGAGCTGTAATAATCTTTTCTTGAGTCCACGACCTCACTGTCCATAGGACTTAGGTTAATCTGAGTTACTTGTGGCGACTTTTCTATAATGTGATTTTTCTGTGAATTCTGCCTTAGGGGCAAAGCGCTCATTTTAAAGTGATTGACATTTGTAGTTAGTTAGCTTGGAACTCAGTCTTCACTATGAACTTTTTGAAAAGCCCCAAACAGAACTAAGACACATATTAAGGATTTCATGTGAGATCACTTCGGAAGTTATAGCTTTGTTTCTCGGAAGCTCCGCAGTATGAACTTCCTTAAGATAAGTGCAATTTCACATTTTCAGCAAGTGTTTCTAAAACCCTGAAGATGGAAGCTGTGGCTCAATTTTGGGGGTGGGGAGAGGTGGTGTTTAGAAAATCAGAAGTTGAACAGTACGTTCATTAAAAAAATAGAGATGTTGACACTTATTAAAATGTTCATCTGATAAATATTATGAATATCAGATAGTTCCTTCATAATGGCTGAAGAAGTTTTAAAATAGGAGCCTCGATCTTTGGCATCTTCACTTAGTTCTAGGGTTTGTGAAGCTATGGAATTGGACAGAATGGTTTGGGACACAGTTACATACGGTAAAGCTTTTGTTTCACAATGTGATTGAGCGCAACACAGCCCTCAGTTCCCAGTTTGTACATGGGTACCTGGCTATGGCTTCTCCTCCGCCTTCTCCTTCTACTACTACTCACGTAAGCATGCTTCTCTCAATATAACGGCGAGTGGTGGTAATTCAGTGAACAGAAACTGAAATGCCCACTGTTGGATGATGCTTCAAACCTTTTCTCTTCTTCAGAAATCTATATGCTTCTAATGTTTTTAATTGTCAAGGCTTGAAAAATAACTTTAAAGTTTTTTGACATTTAAATAATGACCTGTGAAGTTTAATTTTTACATGTGAAAGTTTCCTCATCCAAGAAGAGAGAAAAAAAAGTTGGTATTGTGTATACTATGGGGAATTTTATTTTTAAAGCAGACTCTTATGCCTAAATTATTACAAATAATCTCTTTCCTGGAGTTGCTAGTCAGTTCTCCAACACCATTTTCCTAGTCTTAACTGTGTGGTTCATTAAGAATAACGCAAACCCACAACTGTAGTGTTTCTGTGCAAATGTTATTTTCTCATTAATTATTCAACGTGAGATACAGGCACTAAGCTAAAAAAAAAAAACATATTCTAGAACATGGGTGTCCTACAGACCAGTGAAGACTTCCTGAAGGAGAAAGTAATGAAAACTTGTATAATTCAACATTTGTAGATGTGGGAAAAGAATGTATAGAATATAAGTTAGCGATCTAAAGAAGTTGTAAGTTTGGATGACTAGATTAAAATTAATGGCTACATCGAGATAGATGCCATATAGTATATTTAATACACAACTTAAGCATTTAAATAAAAATAAAATTAAAAGGTTAATAAGGGAAACTTGGCCATTTTAATGTTAGCTCCTTGAGGATATAATAGCTGATGTAGTAAAATAACTTAAAAAACCTCCACTACTTAGACTAATCTGGTAACTTTGCTTGTTTGTTGAGACGGTGCAGGGTCAGCCTTGCACTCACTAGCTCGTGGCAATCCTCCTGCCTTGCCTCCTGAGTGATGAGACTGCGGGACGTGCAGCTCCTCGTTCGCTCATGGTTTTGGTATTTAAAATAAAACACTTTGTGCTACTTCGATATTTGGTGTTACAGAGATTTGACCCGCATCACCCCCTCTCTTACTAGTTTAAGAAGTAAAAAGCCCCATGAAATACCTTTGTTTCTGCCTAATTTGGTGGTCAAAGTAACACGCTACAGTTATTGTGAAACACAAGGCTCCCCTGCCATTCCTTCAGTAGATAAAGTTATGTTTTCATTCATTTATCTTTGCATTCACCAGCGCACATTTTTGGGAAATTTTCTCTATGTGAAGACCTCAGATGAAATAGGCCTTTAAAATAGAAACCTTGAACTGTGACTATCTTTTCACAAAAAAAGGAATCTGCCGTGTAAATATGAAGAGGTAGGCTAACAAATCAAAAGTTATAGCATTTATTTCCTCACGGACAGTGACGGATCCTTTCCACCCCAAGACTGGCGTCACTAATGTTGCATGGCTATTAGTGACTAACGCTACAACAGCATCTCTTTCGTCTGGCCTGGTTACGAGAATAGGTCATTCACGAGGGTGACTCTTAGACGTCATAATGGGTTTTTCACTTAATCTAAAGCCTTCACTTTAACCATATGGAAAGATCTTTTAAGCGTGTGTGTTTTAGATTTACTTATTCTATGTGTGTATATATGTTTTGTCTCCGTGTATGTATGTGCACAACATGCATGCCTGGTGTTCACGTTCTCATGGAGGTTAGAAGAGGGTATTGGGTGCCCTGAAATTGGAGTTTGGTGGTTGTGCACCACCAAAAGGGTGCTTGGAACAGAACCAGGGTCCTCTGAGAGAGCAGCTTGTGTTCTTAGCTGCTGAGACATCTCTCCAGTCCCAAGTGTGTATGTTCTTTAGACAGCTTCCTGTTTTATAAACAAGATGTGAACAGAGAACTATCCCAGTGCCTCCGGCTTTCCATAGACTACCGGGCACTTGGTCTGTATTTCGCTCTTATGGGGGATTTTAAAATGCCTCTGCACTAATCGTCCCTCATTACGCAATCTTCTTGCTTCTGGCTTCTGTTGCCTAGTTCAGTCCGTGGATTTTTGTGGGTAGCCATTCTTAGAGTCCTCTTCATGTTTCGGATGGTGAGAGCTAACAGAGACTTAGCTTCTAGGTGGTGTTTCCTCGCTCTATATTAGGAGTGTACAGAGGTTAAAATATTAAAGTTTTAAGCAACCACAGCCGTCGAAATGTCTTGGGCTTCTGGTAGAGCGTAATTTAAAACAATTCGGTTTGCACTTTCTATAATCTAATATTGCATCTCACACTTCCGCGTCTCTCCTAACGCCTCACCCTCCCCTCCCCAGGGGACTCAGGTCTAAGTACCACCATCACAAAAACTCTGCTGATAAGCCCCTCCAATGACTCCCTACCGCCATCTGGTTCTCACCCCTACCCATTACCTTCCACTTGTGCCAAAGCCCTCTCCTTTCTGTAGATACTTCTGCTCCAGTGGATATCAATTATGGATTGCTTTATCCTTCCTGTGGGCTTAATTTTTTGTTGTTGTTGTTGAAGGAGGATCTCACTGTGTAACATAAACTAGTCTCAAATACATGATCCTCCTGCTTCAGCCTCTTGAGTTCTGGGATTGCAGGTGGCTACCATACTTGTGAGAGACTATTTTTTTTTTTAAATTTCTTCTTTTTTTTAAATTTATTTATTTATTAATTATGTGTACAACATTCCTTCCATGTGTGCCCGCGCCAGGTCTCATTACAGATGGTTGTGAGCCACCATGTGGTTGCTGGGAATTGAACTCAGGACCTCTGGAAGAGCAGCCAGTGCTCTTAACCACTGAGCCATCTCTCCAGCCCCCAGTGAGAGACTATTTTTACATATTTATTTTTGTGCATGTGTGTCCGTTGTTTGCATGTGTGTGAATCTCCATGTGTATGTATGTTGAGGACAGAGGTTGGTGGCCAGTGTCTTCCTCTGTGACTTTCCACCTTTTTTTTGGTTTTTGTTTTTATTTTGTCTTTAGAGACAAGGTTTCTCTGTGGGGCTCTGGCTGCTTTGGAACTCACTCTGTAGACCAGGCTGGTCTTGAACCCATAGAGATCCACCTACCTCTGCTTCCTGAGTGCTGGGAATAAAGGCGTGCATCACCACTGCCCAGATCTCCATCTTATTTTTGAAACAGGGTTTCTCACTGGACCTGAAGCTCACTAATTCAACTCAAGGAACTGGCTGGAAAGCCTTGGGAGTTCTAGTCTCTGCTTCCACCCTGCTGGGATTACTGGCATGCACTGCCCAACCTGGCTTTTTATGTGGGTGCTGGGGCTCCAAACTCGGGTCCTCTTGCCGTCTTCCCATCCTTTATGTTTTACTTTTGTATGCCCACTGCCTGGTTTGTAGAAGGCCACCAGAGTTTGTTGCATTCAGTGAAGAAAACAGTACTGAAAATAGTTTTTATGATGTCTATTTAAACTTGTATTATTTATTTGTGTGGGGGGAGGGGGAACATCCTTGCCCACCACACATGTGGAGGTCAGAGGACAGCTTGCAGGAGCTGGTGTTCTCCTTCCACCATGTGGTAGTGAGCTCTGTAGCAATTACGGCTGTCTGATATTAAGCCCCTGGTCCCCAGAGCTACATAACTTCCTTTGTTACACACAACTTCCTAACTCCATCTTGGTACTGTGGGTGTTATGCTCTAGCAATCAGACTTTGAGCTGTGCATGGACCAATAGTTTGCAAGAAGCGTTTTGTCTAAATCAGTTATGCGCAGTAGAGTTAAGGGAGCCAGGAGGGAGAAACTTCATAGCCAGAGTAAAACGGCACTTCTCAAGCTCGCCTCACTCAAAGCCCCCTTTCACCTGAGAAACTTTTCTGTGTGCATATATAATTCTATAAAATAAGTGTGCAAGGCCAGGCATGGTGGCGTACGCCTTTAGTCCCAGTACTTGGAAGGCAGAGACAGGCAGATATCTGAGTTCGAAGCCAGCCTGGTCTACAGAGTGAGTTCCAGGACAGCCAGAGCTACACAGAGAAACCCTGTCTCAAAAACAAACAAACAAAAGAAAAAAGTGTACATATCAG